TCTACTTTCCATCACTAGTACATCGATTTGACAATGCTTTAAAACTGGCCACACTAAAGAAAAGCTTGTAATTACTTTAAACCCATATAAAAGGTCTTTTCTACTCAGAGGCAAATTTTTAAATTGTTTACATTTTCAAAGTTAGACAAATCTATAACTCCATTATTCACAATTGTTGAACTTGTCATTTCCCTATTTTCTATGTGTTTTGCAGAAAAAATATATTGGAGTTGGAAATGTTGAGTTCAGTCAATATCACGTACCACTTTCTTTTGATATAAAGCTGTTTAATGCTATATCACACTGTATTCAGGATAAGTATTATTCTTACAGTTTTGGACTTCCTTATCCAAATACACATTTTCTACTCTCCCAAAAAACAAAACCAAAAAACAAAACAAAACAAAAAAACCAAAACAAACAAACAAAAAACCAACCAACCAACCAAAAAAAAAAAAAACAAAAAACCAAACCTCTTATTGGGTAAGGTGCCTCCTTTTAAGAGGGTAGCTTTTCTATAAATTTTCTTTCTGATACTTGTTTCACAGAAAAACTTACACAACTTTTGGAAAAGGGGAATGGGAGCAGGTAAGGGGGAGGCACAAAACAAACTGTATTATGTGTGCACAGGTCCTTAGCTGTAGTAGCATAAACTGTGTAAGCACTTAACTCTTTAAACTGTGATGCAGAGGGTAGACTGAAATAATCCTCACTTTTCAGACTTAGCTCAAAAGTTTCCCAGCAATCTAGAGAAACCTGCATTTTTGTTCTCTTTGGAGAAAGAGGGAAGCAAAATGAATTGCATGGAAGAGGCGATGCAAATGAAAGTTTAAGGAAACTAGGCAGGCCCAAGAGTTGTAGGGAAGGGGGTAGGGATAGGACTAAGAGCATTTCCCTATATGCCTGTAAGTGTGCCTTGCTAAAGCACCCAATCTTCTGAGCTTGAAACCTGCAAGTACCCTTCTTCTCTAATCAAGTGATGCTTTAAAAGAAGGGCAAATAACTGGTTCTTTACCTGTAAATACTCAAGAACAAAAGCAGTCACTTCTCTTGACTTGTGAATTAATGCTAAGCCATTTATTGAGGAGGATTTCTTGAGAAAGACATTTTAATTAATTAGAAGTTATCAAAAAAGTGAAAGAATTTTGCCTTTTGTATGTCAGCCTGAACAAATAGATCCATTGAGAGACAGAGCAAGTCACTTGGAATGTACCAGTCAACAGCAGAAATCTAAACATACTCCAGCTACACTTTCTAAACTTCTGTTTCAGCATGTCACAGAATAATGCTTCTATTAATGCAGGCTGACTGCTGCATTCGTTGAATTCAGTAGTGAGTTCCTTACAAAACACAATTTAATTCACAGACCATGGATCAGAACCATTTTGTGACTGACTCTGGAAACCCAGACCTGGACCTTGCTGCAAAGGAGTCTGCTGTGTCTTAAAATGAGATATGTGAAGTTGGTTCACAGAGCTGAGTAGGCTTAGAGTAAGAGAAATTCTGAGGCCAACAGGTCTTTGTTCCGGCATGTTGGTATAGTCTTATCTCTGAGACAGGTGGATCTACCATGTATTTAATATCATCTGGTACTAGTCAAAATGAAATAGCATCCCCTAAGACTGTTGCTTCCTGAATCGTTAAAATTACAGAAAATACAAGACTGTTAGAATTCTAGCCTTTAAAAAGTAGCAGTTTATTGGAAAAAAACAGTGTAGAAATCAGATAGAATTCAATTGATTATACTGAAACTAGCCTTACTCTGGCAGCTGTAGGGGAGCAGTTGTCTGTGCTTCCTCTTCATATCTCTTGATGCTTTTTGTTTAACATTTTTTTGTTGTCCTGATAAAATGAACATGGGGGTTTTTGTAAGGGGTGTATAGCCTTGATACCAGGAAGGAAAGCTTGATTGCAAACCGAGATATTTAAGATCTATGCTCCAAGAGGCCCAACTACCTGGAAAGCAGATTTGACATGTAGCAACACATGTCATCTTCAGCCTGTGCTGGTGAAATACTTTGACAAATGGAATATACTTCACTATAAAAAGCTTCTTATAGCACTTTGTTCAGCATTTCTTCTTTTGATAGGACTTTGAGGTACCTCAAAAAGAAGCCTTAGATATTGAGCTGCATGGCAACATTCCCTTGCCTAATTGTCTCCATTTTGCACCCTTTACAGGTCCTTTTTTGGCATTGTGTAACTCTCTTCTTTCTTCAGCTGCAGATTAATTTATAAGTCAAATGAATTATTACAGCCTCTTGCATGGTCTCAGTGTTGTGAAGTACTGCAAATATGTTCCTTCAACATGACAGAGACATTGTAGTATGGCATAATCAAATCAAACTTTAAACAGTAGCTTCTTTATGTGTTTAAAAATAAAAGGTAAATATCAGTTTCATTAGGCAGATGAATTTTAATTGCTAAACGCTTATAGACAGTTTTGAGATGGTCAGAGGCAAGGTCCTGTGCAAATGCAGTATTTTATTAAAATATTTAATAAGCAGAGTCTCTGACCCAATAGAGGGAACAAAGAAGCCTGTCCACTCTTAATTTTCCCTACCCATAATTATTTCTCTAGAACATAAATTACATATTGTACAGCTTTATTTTGTTTTCAGAGGATAATTATACTAGAAATTCCAGCCTTCTTTCTGTGGAGGGACCTCTTTCTCAGAAGCCACACCTTTTAGCAGTCTGTTTTTCATTTGAGAAGGGCTGGATTTCCATTTATGTCAACATGTTTTTACGGGATGGGTACTTTCAAGAGATGGATACCAGTAAAATGGGAAACCCTTACTCACAAATCATAATAATTCAGTCTGGAAGATGTATTGTAAACTGATGATATAGGAATGAAAGCTTGTTTTTTGCATGTGTAGTCTGTTAGAGATGACTCAATTTCATACCTGCTATTGTAACTGAGAGAAAAGCCTGTAATTCCTGTTGTAGTCATCTGAGCATCTTTAGTGGTATGTCCATGCTGCAAGGAAACTTGGACTTGGTTTCAAATGAGGCAAGGCAGGATTCTAAAGTGGACAGTACCAGTTGCTCAGTGTATGAGATTGGAGGCTTTTATGGATATATTTACATCATATTTAAGGAGTTTAATAAACTGGAAGTCAGGGTCCTAAAGTAAGGTTCACAACTCACTTGTAATATAGCAGGTCAAGTCTTCCATTCTCCAATGTTAGAGATCGATGGACACCCTATACTTGCAATTTTGTAAGAACATACTGTTTCAGAAATGTTCCAACTTTCTAATCATAGTCACACTTCACTGCTCTTAACCACAAGTTACAAAATTTTATTCTTGTGTGAATAATTTTAGTAAGGGGGTAGAAGCAAGGAAACTGAATTCTGTTTTTAAAAATCCCATTCAAGTCTTACTTCTGCTGGAAAAGTTTGTTTGTTTTTTATGTAGCTGTGGTGTACTCGGGGCTTTTTCTTTTTTCATCGTTGCATATGCAAAATCCAGACCTGCAGAACTGTTCCATGTGGTGAACAGTCTGCTAAACCCAGACTGTTTTGCCTGAGTAGCAGATTTCCATATACCTCATTATGAGTTTGGGATTTTTTTGATTTATGTAGGCTCTGTTCCTTCAAAGGGATGTATGACTGTAGACCTTTATACCTACCAAAGTGGTTTCTTATCAAGTACTGAGGAAAATAAGAGGCCAGATCCTGTTGGAGAGTAAGAGACTTGATTTGCTGAGAAGAACTTTTCTTTCTAGACAGTGTAATTTGTCATGGAAACAGCATGTAAACAGGAGGCCACACAAAATAACTTAGCTCTTGAAGCTTTTTAATGGTGTCCAAGATGGTTCTGGATGGTTTGTGAATGATGTAATCTACAGTGTGTAATGCAAATTTTGATTTGGTAAGGGACTATAAAGAAGGATTTAGGTCAGTACTGCTAGAAGGAAGTAGCATGGACTTTACCTAGTTGTTGCCTTATACAGCTTGATTTAAATAAGTGTTAGATCTTTCCACACCAAAGAAGCCATTATCCTGAGTAATAGCAGGTGTGCTTCAGTATTTTGTCCTTTGATAAAGGCAAATGGTTAAGCTACCTAAGTCTCTGAAGTTACCTTATTTCTGTGGATTCCTACCATTCAGATATCCAGTATGTGCATGGACAGAATTACTATCCCTCTTTTTGTCATTTCCTACTGGGCATGAACAAAATCATAGAATATAATCATAAACCAACATAGATTGGCAAGAAGGAGTTTATCTGGCCAAGCCACTTCTCAGAGCAGAGCCAGCTTATGGCCCTGTTGTTCAGCTGAGCTTTGGGCACCTCTGAGGACAGATGACTCCATCATCTCTATAATTTTCCATTAGATAATTGAAGGCATCAATATGCCTTCACCTTCCCTCCTTGGTGTCCCCCCTTTGTAGTGTTCTCTGAAGACTGAACAAACCCATTTCTTTCAGCATCCTCCTTACATCATCATGTACCTGATAATCTTTCTGACCCACTGCTCCCTTGATTTAGTAGGTTAACATCTGTGTTCTATTGGGAAGTCCAAAACTGGAGTAGATGATGTGATTGACATTTGCATCTGACCATCTATGATTCCTCGGTCCCAATTATTTTGATTATTCTTAGCTGGTTTGTCTGAAGGTGGGTTTTAGAATAGCTGAGGACTTCAGGTTGTCTCCTCCCCCACAAACAAGGTATCTTAACTACAGTACTCCACATCTTACTGATGAGGGCTAAGAAACAGAACTGTTCACAATGAAAAAGCTGTTTCCTGAGAGAATGTTTTACATTAGTGATACTCTTGATTTAAGTGGTTAATTTACAGTGGGTCATGGTATAACTTGTTTTTATAGATGATATCACTCAATACTCTTTATTATCACCACAGCACAAAATATACTTCCTCTTGGCCCTCTGACTTCAAGACAGGGAAAGAGGACTGTGCAGAAATAATTTTCAAATCCCAGGGACTGTACATGTAAAGTATTCTTAAATTAACTTATTTTTCTAGTGCGCTTGGAGGATCATCTGCTCTTCACATCCCAGCCTTTCCTGGTGGAGGTTGTCTCATTGACTATGTACCCCAAGTATGCCAGCTGCTAACAAACAAGGTAAGCTGCTGCAGACAATCAGTTTTCCTTTCTCTTGTGCACTGTACTGCAATTCCACATTATTCTGCTAGGTATTCTAAGCAAGGCTTACTTAGGCTGAACTGCACAGGGAATACCTCCTTGGTAAGAACTGAGCATCTAAGGACAACATTGAATAGAATGACTCCTTTAGGTAAACAAGTGAGTTAGGGGTCAGATCCTGGAGCAACTTTTTTCTTACTGTGACATGTTATGATTTAGGATAAAATGTTATTGCATTGTACAACACTGCATTGCAGTATGCTGGGTTTTACTAAATACAGATGTGTAGTTTGCATATTATTGTTCTAGTTGCAAGTTCTCATACCCCAGTCATTACTGTAGGTTTTGAGTACTTTCTGTGATTTTTCTTCTCAGATGTTTCCTCCAGATGAACTGAATCAGCAGTTTTTTTGGATGTTTATACAGTAATAGCTACTTAAGGTTGCTAAAAAGGTTGTGTTCCAGCTAGCTTACTGTTTAAACAAAAAAGAACAATTAGAGTATTTTGAAAGTTTCTCCATTATTTAAATATCATTTTCAAAAGAAAGCTTAGGGGTCAACATCTAGAAATTTATCTATTACAGACTTCCTATTTGTATATTATTTTTACCTTCAATTGTCTAAATGAAGAAAATAATTTTATCTTTTAGAAAAAGTTCTTCAGAATGTGTTTCCATAATTATGTTGGGATCTATCATTAGAGTTGTTTTTGTTGTGGTTTTCTGTTAAAATCACTTTCTGTTTTTAAAATCTGCAAGTACACTGGGCTGTTTTTATCCTTTCTTAAACAAAGTCACTTAAGCAAACTTATCGTATGTTTTCCTTTTCCCAAAATAACATTTCAGATCTTCCACAAACCCTTCAAAATAATCTTAGCGTTTTATGAAATACAATGTTTCGATTTATAAATAGAATTTAAGTTGTACAAGACAGCTCTCAGCAGTGGTTGTATCAAGACTTTTTCAGTAATTTTAGGAAAGCATTTGCCAGCCAAGGAATTCTAGTATTGCCATAGCCAAGAAAATACTCTTCCTGTTCTTTTCAGTGGGGGAGAAAAGGTTCCTAAAGGGCTACTTTTTGTTCTGGAAAGCAAAGGAATTTACGCAGGGAATCACATATAGAACCATACCATAAGTACTTCCAAGTCACCAGTTGTAAACCAGATATCCTTGCAGCCTGGTGATACATATATTGGCTTTGTTATGGGTCAAACCCTGCTCATACTGTTCTCTTAAGTGATGCCATCCAAATCAACAAGAAAACGTACATGGTCTGAGGAGAATTTTGCCTTAAAATTTCCAAATTTAGCATTGGATTTTGTCTGTGCCAGGATGGAAGTCTTTCAAAACCCAGAATGCTTTAGAAACTGATGCTCAGAGTTGAGTAGGTGGCTCCCTGAGTCAGCATGAAACCAGTGAAAGAGCTTAGTGTTCAGAAGATTTTGTTGGAGGTGCAGTCTTGAGAAAACTCCCAAGTTCAGTTGTGCAAGATACTTAATTTTTTCTTCTCTTTTATAACCAGAATGTTATTTTGACTCTTAGCCTACTGTCAGTTCAGATAACTGATTTGCCTATCACAGATTTCTACTCAAACTTCAGTAAGGTGAGGCTGAGCATTTCTTTCTTTCAGTCTTGTGTGGTTAAACAGTGCTTCAATCTATTGTGGAAGACTAAGTTTCACTCAGATGTGATTGAAGAGATTTCTTTACATGATATTCTGTGTGCAAGATCCAGAGTTTGTTTTAAAGGCATTTTAAGATTCTTTAGGGAAATCATGCTAAATGTAGCATTCAGAACTACTATCATGTCAAACATAAATCTTCCTTAACAAGAAATACATGACAAACTGGGCTTTGGGTTTTTTAATCTTTTTATAGCTCTGGACTTGTTTTCTTTCTTTTTTAAGGTACAATATGTTATTCAGGGATACCATAAGAGAAGAGAGTACATTGCAGCTTTCCTGAGTCACTTTGGAACGTAAGTTTTCTTCCGATGCATATTTTTCTGTAGTGTGGGGGAAACACATTTTCTGCATATGGTTTGTGGTTGTGTGGCTGCTGTCCACTGGATGAGATGAAATCTAGTCATTTTTCTCAGAATTATGTGTACAGATTGTCTCTCTGCAACAATGCTGGGATGTATTTCAGCATTATTTCACTTCTGTGCCAGTGGGCAATCTGATTTTTCTAGAAAATAGGTGATCACGGGTAAGGGAGAATAGGGCTTTTGTACAGAAGAAATATGTTCATTTCAGAATAAAGGACTTAAGGAGCCTTGCACTCAAAGGCAGTGGATGGGGTGGGAAAAATGGGGAAGCAGGTGTGGTTCCAAGCCTTACAAGAGCCAGAAACCACTGCTCAGTGTAAAGGACTGGGAGACCAACTGTTCCCACCAACAACCATTATTTTGTCTCTCAAGAGAAGAGGCTGTTGGGTCATGTTGCATTCCTGATGAAAGGGGCGTGGCCAGGCATGATGACACATTAACTTCACAAATCAATTAAGCAGGGCTACCATGGCACTGTGAAGGGTTGGCCCTTTGGTTTCCTGCCTAAATTCTGACTTGAGACAGAGTCCAAGCCTTTAGCTTATCATGATGAGGGGTTTCTGCTTCCAAGGGGTGATGCCAATGGCATGGATATTCGGGAGCCCTTCAAATCTCGGCTCTCTCAAGTGAGGTTAGGAAAACAGGTGGCTTCTGGCATGCACCCAAATTTAATACAACAGTAAATAGATAACTTTAAGTGGACATAGGAGTAGACGGTCAGTGCAAGCTTAATCTTTATCAAGGCATTTCCTTTTCTGAGAAAACTATATTATAGAAATGGCCATGTGTGCTGTGACTATATGACATCTGCATTGTGATTCATGAATTCTGATACTGCTTCAGACTTACAGAATACCAGCTTCTGATTGTTGCAACTTTTAATCCATCTATTAAACAAGTATTCTATATGGAATTTTTTGTTATGATCTCATGTTTTGCTTTTTTTATATATATATACTCCTCCCAGTTTTCAAATTTAAACTCTTCTCAGCCTGCTTATTTTCAGTTTTACCATACTCGCTACAGAAATGAAAAATAATTTGAGTAAGGTACAGGGAATTTGTATGTCTACAGTTTTTATCAGTTTAGGACTGCAGATGTGGTAGCAGGTGTCCTTTCATTCAAAAGTGTATTTTAAACTGAAGATGGCCTTTCTTTAGGTAAAAACCTCCAATACCACAGAATAATTAAGACAATTACTAAGATTAAAAGCTTAATCTAATTTACAATTAGCTAGAAAATTGTAACTGTTAATAAAAAAGCAAATCCTGGAAGTTCTGAACAAACAAACAAAAATAACAATCCCTGTATTACAAAATTTACATAATCATCATCCAGTATTTGAAGGTAAAAACTGTATTAATTTTTTTGTTGGTTTTTTGTTGATAGTGGTGTGGTGGAATATGATGCAGAAGGATTCACAAAGCTTACTCTGTTGCTGATGTGGAAAGACTTTTGCTTCCTTGTTCACAGTGAGTAACACTTTGCCTCAGGCATAAATGTCTATCCTCTGAAGATACAAGTTCAAAAGGGAAAATGTACAATTACAGGGAACAATTTAAAAGTTTTCGCTATTTTTATCCAGTGCTTAATCTATTTTTGATGTGACTTAGAAAACACAAAATCTCAGTTGAATCTAGAGAAGGGGAGAGGATGCACACCAATATTAAAATGTTGGCTTTACAGAATGCCAAAAGGGTCTTGGCAAGGTTTTCTGGTAATTTGTTTCAAGATTAAGTTTACTGTAACTTGGCTTTTCAAAAGTGTTAGTGGTGAGGACTGTTACACTCAACCCAGGAATACCTAAAATCATCTGTAACTGTCAGGAATTAACACATTGATAACAACTGTAAAGATACTTTATGTAGAGAAAATATATTGCATAAGAAATAACAGCTATTGTCATTAGGATCCAAAACTTATTTCTAGACTGAAACTGTGTAGGTAAAACTGTCCTAACAACATAGCTAGGTTTGCTGTCATTTAAAATTTTAAAATAAAGATTGTATTACTATCCAAAAGATATTCTTAATTTAAACATACAGAATTGCTCCATTCGGAAATTAGTAAATGTTGCTTTGATACTGTCTTTTACATATTACTTAAAGTTTCAATTTCTGTTTTTCTTTGTGGTAAGGTGAAATTCATAGTTATCAAAGATATTTTGATCTGGGGAGATTCAGTCACGTAACTCTTTAGATTTGATTGTTACACTTCTTATTTATGTTTAAAATTAACACATTGCAATATGGGCAGATGCTGCATTGGTGTTTGATAGCATTCTAGCACTGGAGTCCTTCATATTATATAATTTTTTATTTTGGGCTAGCTTTTCATGTGGAAAACTCATCTATCTTAAGGATATCATAGAAATTTGTCCTAGAGTTCTTAATGCAGGATTGCCATTGTTCAGTGAAGTCCTTCACCCTGTGTTGTATTGGAGATCATAAAACACGGTCTCACTAATCCCTTTCTTTTTATGTCCTAATATTACCTTAACAGATGTTAATGATCTTAAGAGGTCTAGAAAACTCAAACCTGAAATTAAAGCATCATCATGTTATTACAGTTTATATTGGGGGAAAAAAAATTGAATTGAAGTTGTATCTTTGGGAAGACTATCCTCATGAAATCTTTACTTATATTTCAACTATGAATGGAGAGCCAGTCACTGGACATTTGTCTTCTATGAGATGACACTTCTTTATGTACAGCCTTCCTGAAGATTTCCTACCTTTCTTACTTCCCAGCATATTTGGGTAAATTTAATCAATGTTAAAATTCCTGTGGATTTGATTTGTGCTGTGAGATAATATACCTACCTTAATACATGTTGAATCACTTAGATTTCGGGGAATCTAAATTCAAATTTCTGCTAAATAACAGAGCAGGTTTTAATTGTGTAATATTCATGGTATTCAATTAAACTGGCACGAAAGCTACAATTATAACTGGATAGTTTATCACTATGTATTAACCCTTTGGCCTTAGAAATCATACAGTGACTTAGCTGTGTAGGCCATTGCATCACTCACTTGCTGAACAATTCAGTGCAAAAGCATTTCTGGTCCATGCACTGAAGGATATTGCAATGAAAGGACTGAAACCTGCACTTCATTTCCTGAGTGAAGTAATGTAAGCTTTCATCTCCTAACCACTGACATAACTATGTAAATTGCAGTTGAATATTTAGCAAGCGTCTAATAAAATGTCTGGGAGAGATAGCAGTAAGTGGAAAACTGTTCTACTTTATATATTTACTATAGTATGTGGATAAAGTATTCAGAGGAGAGTAAATAGGTCAGTATATGGAAAGCACTGTGGCAAATCAAATGAAAGGAACCATAGTAAATTTTATTGGCATTAAAATTTTAGATTTGAGATTGACATATAGGTGAGATTTATAAACCCTAACATGACTTGTATTTCCTTTAGAAGATGGATTCAGAGGTTTCCAAAATAACTTTGGCATTATTTTGCAACTATTTGCATTGAGAGTTACAAACTTGTTTGGACACTAGGAAGCAAAAAACGTTAGAAGTAAGTTGAAATTATTCAGGTTAGTTTTATTGAGTACAATGCGTTGAAGAGGAGAGAAACAGAAAAATAGTTCTGAATTGCTGAAGCCAGGTAACCTTAGAACAACTTCACATGCTGAAAAAGAAAAGACTGATGCTGTAGTTAGAGAATGAAGAGCAGAGTGTACCCACTCTGCCTTAAAACACCAAGGAGCTACCTAATTACAAACTTAATCATTAGACTAATGAAACTGCTGGAGTTATTATATTAGATCAAAGACTAGTCAAAGGAACTGTTTCTTTAGTGGTTTAGTTTTAAGAATTAATCAAGTGCTTTCAAATATAAGACAGAAGAAATAAACATTTAGAGAAGTTCATGCATCCACATGGGAAAGGAAATCATTAATCAGGCCTACTGCTTTTGATACTGATACTGTTTATGAGTAAGTCCCAGTATGAAGCTTTGTAAGTAAATTTCAATAGACTGCTCACTTCTCAATAGACTTTCTCTTCTTGTTTATAAATCAGCTAAGATTACTTTTTGGAGACAGATATTTCCTTGTATTCTTGTTCTTGTATACAGTTTATGTATTTAAACCATATATAAATTATAGTATCATTTAGGTTGGAAAAGACTTTTGAGATCCAGTCCAGCCATTGGTGCAATAGCCAATCGATATTAGATAAAAACACAAGTTACATTATCTGTGCATAATTAAGAATTAAATAGCATTATTGTTATAAACACAAGAGTAGAACTCTGAAGCAACCCGTATGTGGGCTTTTCAAAGATTAATTTTTATCTTGCAAGATTTTTAGGTTATCAGCACTCAGGAGATGGACAGAAGCTGCACCAGTTTGCAGTAGCAAATGAAACACTGGTTATGTTAGTGGTTGTTTAAGATGTCTTGAAAAGGACAAACATTAAACTGAAAAGGGTTTGTTTCACTGAACAGTATTTTAGGGGGTGGAGAATGTTGGAGGCTGCTAGCATTTATATTTCCAGTTTGTTTGGGATCTCAGTCAAGGTGAAGTTGGTTAGGAACATTTGCTGGAGGTGACCTTGGCTGATTGTAAGGAGTTTCAGTTTCTGTGTGGATAATGCCACTGACCCAGGAATTCCAAAGTGCTGGTCATGTAAAAGCTTGAGTTTAATTGATGATCATTCTTGCCATGGGAATGCCAACTTCAGTTGCTTTTTGTCCACCCTTTGACTTGTCTGTGCAGTTAGGTGGTTGTCTCTGTTAGAGGATAGATCAGAAACAGGCAGCATCCCAGCAAGAAGAAAGTTTTGAAACAGAAGAGATGCAAGCAAGGGACCTAAAGCATTAATTGGCTAAGAGGAGACTGTATCTATGAGTGTCAGACTTTGGGTGGACACCTGCTTCTGGATTCAGGGTTTTTTGGTGTATGTTGCCAAGACCAGCTTCTGATGCATTCTTGTTTGGGTATTGCTGTCTGCACACGTTTGTCAGTCATTTAAAAAAAAATTATGGAAAAAAACCTTGTCTGCCTGAGCCATGTCCTAAAAACAATGGGCAAGTATTGAGTGGGATATTTACATTAGATTGTTTCTGTGAGCTTCTATCTAATGAGATGTTTTAACTTTCTTATATAGTGCTGTTATTTTATTCTTCTCATTGTTCCTTAAATGAAAATGGGAATTTATGACTCTGAAAACTGAAGAAGGTAAAAAGATAACATGACCATGTGAATAACAAGGTGGTCCTGTCAGGAAAGCAGGATAGTTCAGTAGAAATGGCAGCATAACAAAATAAATGTTTCAGGAGTCTAGAATGAAGAGTTCAGTGCTGATCAAAACGATCTGTAAATATTGTATAAGGCTATCATTTTATTCTTAAATGAGAAACTGTAGATTAACAAAGCCCCAGTGAGATAAAAGTGGCTACAGAAAATCAAATTTGGATCTTATGCTTGGGAATAAGCATAGAAGTGTCTTTCTTTTGGCGGTCTTCTCCTCTGACTCAGTACTTTTAGGTGGTTCCATGTATTTCTTTGACTCTGGTCTTGAGAGTTTCTGAAAACGTGTTCTGCCTACAGCAAAATATATACCTGAACTGAAAGGATTATTCGAAACTTTGTACATTGTTTCAATCACTCAAAGCAAAGCATTTTCTGGGACATCTCCTGTGTAGTGAAGTATGTCTTGCTTACTGAAGTCAGTGAAAACTGCAGATGCACTGCCGTGCTGAGGATTAGGCAGTGTGATGGAAAATTTAGCCTGAGTCATAGGCACACAGTTCTGCACTAAACTAGGCATGGGCTTAGACAGGGGTTAATCATAGGATTGAATTGTAGCATTTGGAAAATTAATGAGTCTTTTGCTGTTCATTTTTCTACATAGTGTATTTTTCTCCTTTATTTCTAAGGGATACTGCCGAGTAGATTTAGTTTGAAATTTTTATTGAAAGCTGGTAATTTTATTTTTGACATTAAGAGTTCTTGAAATATTTTGTTCCTTTGATTCTACCTTGGCTATTTACTTGTATGTGAGGTTTTTTTATATAGCTATTCATAATGGGTTGCAAGTGAATCTGAAGAGTGGTTTTCTTTTCCTTGTTTCTGTTTCGCTATGTTCATTTTGTCTTCATGTCACTCAGTATAAGCTAGTTGTAGGTTCCTATTTGTAATTGCAGAAGAAGGGAGAATGGACAGCAGACAGCTCATAAAACTTGGTATGGACAGTAACAAACAGGAAGCAACAGTTGTGATACTAATTAGGCTTTATAAGAATCTTACAGATGGCCTGATGTGGGTGGACTGGCAAGGTATTTTAAAATGTCGTTTTGCTGTGGATATTACATGTGTTTCTCAGAAATTAAAAAAGTTTTTGCTACACTTTTAAAACTCTAGTATATTGCTGCAGACATTAATTGACGTTCTTCCAGCAACTACCAGCACTTGGGCTGAAAGGTTTTGTAATAACTTCTTAC